TGAAGCCCTTCTAGGCCGCGGACGTCTCAGCCGAGCTCTCACTTGACCGGCCTTCATACCAAAGAGCCCAAGTAGCTCGGCTCCGCAGGCCCTTTGCCATTACTGAGCAAAACCACGGCACAATCTTGAAGCCAAATACCTCGGCCCAATCTTGTTTGGCCGAAACTAGATCATAAATCTCCCTCTCATATATATATAAGAAAGAAAGAGAATAGAAAGAAAGAAAATAATAAAAAAAATAGAAAAAATCAACGGTCCAATCCACCAAACCCGGTCCGGGTCACCGGTTTTCCCGGTTCAACCGCCGGGTCTTCTGGTTTTCCATTTCTAGGCTAGTTTTCCTTCTACTCCGGTTCTAGGGAGTTGACCGGACCGGAACAAGACCCGGTCCAACCGATTTGACTGGCCAGTTCGGTCCGGATTTCACGACATAATTTAGCACAAATTCACCATGTAATCACACAAATATACATATAAAATTTTTTATATACAAAAAAAAATCTTGTGCCGGTGACTCAAAATTTTAAAAATATTATTATTACATTATTTAAATAAATTATTTTTATAAAAAAACTTTCTGTTTGCGGACCTTCTTTCTCTCAGTCATAATGGAAATCGAATGGCCACTGTTTTTTGTTTTTTCCTTCTTCTTTTTGAACAGGCAGCCAGCCCATGTTCAATTCCTTCATTAGTAAGGCTAGTACAGGCTTTTTTTTTAAAGTAATTTTTTAATTTTTTAATTAAAATATAATGTAAAAAAATTAACATATTTAAAATAAATTTTTAATTTAAAAAAAATTATAAAAAATAAATAAAAAAATTTACTTTTTAATATAAATTATTGACTTTTAAAAAAAAACATTAACTCTTAAACTAAAAAATAATATTATCAAACCAACCTAATAGTCAAATACACAAATCAATCCAAACCCTTTAAAGCAACCACCCTATGCTCAGTGGCCTCTGACATAGACCTGTATTGGCCCACACCCATGTCCTCCTCAATCTTACGGACCACCCACCTCATATTACAGTTACAGATTTACCCTTTCTATTATAATTCTAATTAACAATATTACTTACTAACCCAGGGTGGGTGGCAACTTGGTAAGGGATTGGGGTTTAAGCCCTTAGGTTTTGGGTTCGATTTTCCTTTGGGTCAATTTTTTGGGCGTAGTACAGTTGGTTAGGAGGTTAATCTCAAGATGCCTAATCAGCAGCTTGGTGTGGTTTTAATACTCCCTGTGCGAGTCCTGACTTAAGCGGAGCTTGTCTTGGGAGGTCGGGGCAAGCTTCTAAGTTATCGTCTCTTACTCGGAACGGACAACAGGACACCCTGGTGATCTCCTCAAGGGGCGTTGCCTTGGACCTGCAGGAGAGTGGGAGGATTTTCCTGTAACAAAAAAAAAAAAACAATATTACTTATTCAAAAAAATTACTCATAAAACTAAATTAATGTACAATATTCATTATAATTTGTGAGTATAATTTATATTTCATTATTTTTAATTTACATCATACGCGTCATTTTTAGAGTAAGTTTAGGAATGGTAATAGAACGAGTTTGTCGTCTCCTACTCTCGTCTCGTATCATATAAGGGACAAAATAAAAACTCATAAAATAGTAATTGTATGTAACATATATAAATATATTTAATAAATAAAATCAAGGTGAGGGAGCAAAACCCATATCTATCCCACTTCTTCGTTGGGGTCAGAAAAATCTACGCAAGGCGAGAAATGAATGAGCAGAGTAGGAAGGGAAAAAATTGTTATCCTTAAATTTTAGAATAATTTTTAAAGTATATGAGTTTTGTGAATTCTAAATAGCTTACCCATCCTATAAATCTAATTTAATATAATATGAATCATATTTAAAATAAATTTGATTTTTATATTTTATTTTAAAATATTTTTGACATACCTTTTGTAAGTGTAGAATATTGCTTTAAAGAAAACCAAGGCCTCTATGATACGGCCAAGTTTATGTTTATTGTCACAAGTTGCCCTTTTATGTTTGTTGTCACAAGTTGTCTTTTTTCAATTAATCAAATCTAGGTAATGATAAATCAATAGGTGTCATCTTTTTAACAACAAAACTCAAAAATAAGTCCACATGCATGAATTACAAAACTCAAACAGAATGGGGAAAATATGGATCAAAGGAGGTATTATGACTACTTTTGACAAAAGGTTTTATTTGATTGAAGGAAACTCTATATGTATACGTGGGCATTCACCTCAACCAATAAATAAGAGCCTTATGAATAATTACATGGGCGGTCATGTCATATATAACATTCTTCAAAGTAATTATGTTCCCAAAATATTGAGTAATAAGGATTGTTTGGGGTGTCTTAAATAAGTACACTTTTTGTCTTTTGGGACTAAAAAGTTGAGGAAAAAAAATGGATGTTTAGGTTAACTCTTTGACTTTTTACGAAAAAATGTGTATTGAAAAATTATATAAATAAGTATATAGGAGAAGTTATTGAGTAGTCCGTACAGTACCTAGGCAGTGTAGTCAGTTGGTAAGAGATGGAAAATGGTTGCCTCCTTTTCGGGCTTAAATTGGATGGTGTTGTTCAACCCGTATGGGCCTACCACGGGTCCCGTTTTGCTAATCGGAACCGTTCAATATGTAGAAATCGCTGAGTACTATATGCTTATAAAAAATCACGTTGATCGGATATTGATAGCTATCTGATCGTGTTAGTTTTTTTGTCAACTGTTAACTATAACACCATCTATTTTTTTTTTATACAAAATTGATTTAATCATGTAGCTATCCATATACGATTAACGTGATTTTTTACAGACATATAGTACTCAACGAGTTCTACACATTAGCGGTTCGGATTATCAAAATGGGACCCGTGGTGAGCCCCCACTGGCCCAACATTACCCTCCAATTTAATAAATATATATACCTAATTTTTTTTTCCTTTGACAACCTTTCCATCAATTTACAGTACCAGTCACGTCTTTGTATTAAAATATGTAATAAATTAAATTTTTTATATTTTTAATTTGTGAATAATGATAATTTTTTAACTTTTTAGTAACTTTTTGGCTTTTTAAATTTTTTTAGAGACATCAAACTAGGCCTAAAGTCTTCATTTGACATGTTAGATTTTTTGATTTTTTGACTATTTTAGTCACAAAAAGAAAAAAGATATTTTTTAGCCCAATAAAACAAAATATCATATCCAAATCGTAATCATTTCATTTTTTCTCTGACAAAAATCAAAAAAATCAAAAAATTTATCCCAAACGAGACTTTTTAACTTCAAGCTAAAATAGCCAAAAAATTAAAAAGCCAAAAAGTAAACTCATATCCCAAACGAACCCTAATAGGATTATCAGTGTAACAATATTAAGTTAGACATGTAAAATAAATTATATTTATTTGTGCATTAGTGTTATGATATTAATTAATTGAAATTACATTTATAAAATTATATAAAGATTCTTATTATAAACTGGAGAAAAATAAATATTTCCCCCCTCCAATCTTATGGGATTAAATTAACAATCCACCTCTCACATTAGCAATTGAGTATTAATTGTCTCATCACATTTTCTTCAACCAAACACAACCCACAGAATTACTAATCTAGTCCCAGGGTCTATAACCCAATGGAGTTTAGGACCACCAATATTCAACGTGTCATCCGGTGTTATTTATAGATGACAACAATAATGTATGGAAAGTATAGACAAGGTGTAGAGTTTAAAATTTAAACACACACACACACACACACACACTCAAAAAAAAAAA